GGCACTCGTCATGCCGTCAAGAACGTCGCTAAGCAAGAAGCAATCATGCGCGCAATGAAGCAGCTCCAGTCAACAGAAGATACTGGCAGTCTTGATCGACGTATGCAGAAGAATCCTTTGCACAAAAGCCAGGACTCTCTGAACAGAGAAAGAGACACATTAAAGAAACAAAGCCCCAAAGTGCAAAGTGCACACACTGCTGGGACATTGCCAAAAGCCTCGCCAGCTTTACCAGCCAAAAAAAGTGACTCCAAGCGAAATAGTTTGGCATCGGCATCATCTAAGGATGCTGAAATACAAGGTTGAGTAACAGCAAAGTTTCAACTCAAGTTACCATGGTACAGAAATCCAGACTAGTATATAACGGGAGGCAAGTCAAGAGATTTCAGAATCTGATGACAATGTTCACTAATCTCAGAAAGACAGACTGATACTGGTTACGTAATACAAGAGTGCAATAAACCATGACAAAAGAGCATGTATATAGCTTTGCTGTACAGATATTAGACATTATATCAAAACATATTTGATATGCACGGAACCATAAACACAATATGCTTCTACTTCTGTAAGAGATAATTTTTAGTATTATAAATTTCAACAATTATTTTCCAGAACATCATCAATTGTCACTAAGTACCAGCAAATATGGAAATTTATGCCGATGCACTTATATTACATTTTTGCTGATTAGTATAGTAAACACACAAGATCTTCTGTGGTTGATGTTGTGGGTTTTAACCTCTTACTTGGCAACTTTTTAAAATAATAGAGGAAGAAGTCAACTCCAGACATTGCACTATGACTAAAGCTTCTCAGTCCTACCAGTTTACCAAATATGCCACAGTTATGTTGCTAAGAAAATTAATGGCACTTTACAAAATAAACCAACGATCAGAATAATGGGTCACATGACCAAGATTGGTATAATATATTGTATTTTAATATCAACTCATCCTGCATGTCAGTTCCAAATTTTAACAGTCCAGCATTCACCTGCCGCATAGTATATTTTTTTTACTAATTATACCATTAGGATTTTTTATTTATTTAAACTACTTCAATGTGCCAGTGTATAACATAGCTGTATTTATTTATTTTTGTTAAATCTTGGTTATTAGGATGAAAAAAAAAAGGTTTTGCTTCGTGTCTCAGGAAAAATTTAAAAAGGTTTTGATTGCTTTTTGGTATTAAGATTATTCAATACAAGAATCTATGTCAATAAGTAACTTGCTTTTTAATCACATGACACAGAAACAAATATTTTTTCCATTCTACCATACATGGTGTATTCACTGGTATGCAAAATTACAAAAATAAATTGTAAGACATAGATTTCAGACACACACATGATGACGAGAAGCAAACCTTTTTTTTTGGCCTAACTGTGCATAGTTATAGAAATAGTGACTTTATATGTTAGTATAGAATATAGTAGGGTAAAGTGCGTTTTATATACCTATACAAGCATTTAATACAATTTATTATCATGTAAATATTGTTATATTTATCACATTAAAGTAAAATAAATCATTAGATGATATGTACTACTATCGTTTAGTGTCATACGATAATACCTCATGTTCTGTATAAACCGTTAAATTCTCGCTGCCAGAAATGTTTGTAGTTTGAAAAATTTGATGGCGTTCACAGGAACTAAATGTCACTGTGAGGGGGAAATAGAGAACCCTTAGATTTAGCGATTTTTGTTATTTTTATTGTTATATTTTGGAATACTAGAGATTAATGTATAGTTATAATAATACTGCATCTTGGGATATAGGAGTAACGTTAACTTATAGTAGTGTTGCATCTTGGGATACTGTATAGTGTAACAGCAAGTTATCAGAGTAGTTGTAGAATATTAGTAATGGTGATGTCTTAGAACATTTACTAAAAGGGGAAATATAGTCATAACTGTGCGTGTGCATGTAGAGTCCCATCCAACGAGCATATTTATATGGCAACCAATTATAAATGGCTTATCTGGATATACACATTGATAGACACAAATTTTACAAAATCAAATTACCGCATCCCTAATAGAAGTCACACCCATTCTTTTTGAACAAGTGAGAACTAAATAGAATAATAGAAGCCGCAGCTTCTAATACAAATTTTACAGTATATCATTTCGGCTAAACAGGCTAAAGTAGTGAAGATGAAAGACATGCTGCAATATTGTTTTTGAATTACATTTAACTGCCTAGTATGTATAATATGAAGTTTTTTTTTATGATAATGTCACTAACCTGCATGTCATAATAATGCAAGAGAACCAGTAGTTAGAATATTGGCATTATTCTTCAGCAGTCAAACTATAATTTCTCAGATTCAGATTACAGCGCCCCCCCTCCCATATTGGTCTACCCCTGATACAACAAGCTATTACCACCATGAATAAAATGGTCTACCTCTAACACAAGGTTACAAACAAGGTTTGATCATATGGACATTAAGTGACATTAACTTATTTTACGTCACCATTCTTTGCATAGGACCAATATGTTCTACATGAATTGCTACAATACATGTCTAAAACTTGTTTTACATACCATAACAGTTGTATATATGTATGAGCCACAAACTCAGTTTGGTGTCCCACATAAGGCTTTTTGCACCTGAGGTTAATATATAGATAGAATTAAGACATTTCAACTTTTCATTCATTTTAATTTTTTGAGTTGCAAATAAATGGAATTTCAATCAATACAATCTATATTAATTTTACTCTTTTTCAATTGAACTGTATCTCACTTCTTTGTAATTTAAGTTGCTTCTGCTGTGAGCGAGGCTTTAATAAAATAATTTTAAAATAAATGAAAGTGTAAGTGTGGACATCTCTGCTTAAAATTTAGGGGTCATGAACAATATAATCTGTGGACAATATCAGTTTGACCATTTACTTTATGATTGATAGAGCGTAAGCAGTGCCAACCATATGAAGAGCACATGATGTGGGATAAAATTCTCAGCATGCAGCATTTTAAACTGGTCAAAAAACAGAGTACTGTAAAACAGAAGTTATTGTTTCTTTGCGGAGTTTGTAAATTCAAAACCTAATGCAAAGAAACAATAACTTCTGTTTTAATTTGGCTGATTTTACTTATCAGCAAAAATAGAAACCAGTGTATAATTAATACACTTTTAATATACATAATACATATTTTACTTCCCTTGACATGTAATATGCAAATATATAATTTGCATGGCTAATAAGATAAACCGGCCATTGATCCTAGGCAGTACTAGTAGATCTGGAAGACGGCAGAAAGTACATTGACTCCTGGCTAGATATTATTTGCCTACTGTACATGTACATGCCTGTCAGGCTCTGATATACTGGTATCCTTGGGATACGCAGTCATTTGAGTGACACTTTCATTCTTTATGGGTGCACTGATAATAACAAAGCAAACATTTTTGATTTTAATATATACTATGGTAAAACAATTGGCATTGACAATACACAGTGTGAGTTTGGTGTAAAATTCCTTAAAAATTGTTTTTTTCTTTCATGAGTCTGTATTATAATCAAGCAAATATGATACATGAATGTTCAGTTTATTAAACCTTAAACAATAAACTTTTTTGCATTAAAAAAATTAAAAAGATACATAGTACATCAGACAAGAGTTACTGCCACTGTAGATTTGAATTGCCTCATGATTTGTCTTGTCTCATAGTTTGGTATAGAAATTACAATACACTTATACATATATACTGCATATCCAACATAACTTGCAGCAGTTGAATATCTGAAGTACGAAGTAGCTGTTTCATCACTGGTGGAGATCCATTCTGTTACATTTGAGCTTTCATGTCCATTCTTTTTCTCCAGCAATACTAGTGGATACTTTTAATTTACATTGCAGCTTTCATTTCCCATCTTTCCTTTGCCTCAAATGTCCATGCTGGTTTGTTTTTCTTTCCCTTTTTGGCTTTTTTCTCCTCGTCTTGTATCTACAAAATCCCCAAAAATAAATAATGATTGTACTGAGAGCAATAATCCTATGTAATAAATTAGTGACATAAGCGCTACGGTAGTCTCTACCAATCACAGCTATACTCTTAAATTATGATCACTATGAATTTATGGTAGCCCTATGATGCTCTAAAATTGAAAACACTCTTTTTTAGTGTCCCTGCTAAAGCTGTTTCAGTGGTGATATCCAGCTTAATAAAATGTAACCATATTACACTACCAGTACCTTTTTTCTTGCCATGTACTCCCTAGCATCAATTGCTTGTGACACTTTCTCAGCCAGGTCTCTCTTTTCTAATCTGTCACTCAAGTCTTCAGCCTTACTTATATCGCCTTCTGAGATAGCTTTGTTTATTTCTTTCTCCAGGCCCGACTAATAGAAAAAAGTCAAAGTCAAACTGTGTACCATCTTGAATTTTC